TAAAATAAAAGCCTTGGAGGCCCCGCCCCATCTGGCCCTGCCTCCCTCTGCAGCCCCATCCACCTGCCGCTCTTGCAACTCTGGCCTGCTGTCTGGACAAGCACGCGCAGGTTCCTCTATGGAGCACTCTTATCCCCAACTTTTCCCATGCCTGGCTCCTCCTCGTCCATCAGCTTTCAGCTGAGGCCTTCCTTGACCCCCATCTATCTAAAGAGGCTTCTCTTCAACTCATCTCCACTTCCTCAGCATTTGCCACTTCCTGTAATTATTGATTTAACGTGGGGACCTGTCTCCCCACCTAGGACAGAAGCTCCAAAGGGCCGGGACTTTTCTTGTTTTCCACCTTATGATCAGAGCCTGACACAGAACCTGGTACCTAGTGACAGCCCCCCAAAAATCTGTTGGATGAATGAATGAGTAATAAAGGAATGGATATCCCCTGGGAGAACCAACACTATTAAACCCCCCAAAAACCTCGAAATCAGATACAGAATGGGCCCAGCTTTCTTGAAAAACAAAAGTAACACCCTTGCTTTAGTGGAATAAACCCCGAGGGTACCCAGTCTGGGACGTCCCTTCATTCACGCTGTCTTCTCCTACGAATCCCCAGCCGTCTTATTATTGACCACCTTTCTCTCTGGAAATGACCTAGGGCTCCCTGGCTCAGAAAATTGGAACTCGCATTGGAGTTGGGCCCGAGGTCGCAGACTTGCATTTGAGGGACCGGGTGGAGAGGCCCTGACACCCTCTGGATTGGCACTCCTCTGGCCACAAGCCCCATCCTTTGGTTCCTTTGGAACCAAAACAGGAAGAGAACAGAGGCCTCCCAAGGCCTGACACAGTCCCAGGGGTCTAGGTGAAGCCCTACTTCTCCCCAAGACCCTGACACCCGGCCAAGCCCAAGGGATCCAAGGACCCAAGACTGGGAGGAAACAGCAGGAGGGCCGGGGTCAGAGGCAGCAGAAGAACACGGAGTTTGGCAAAAGACACGCCAAATCCCTGCTTTGAAATCAGACAAATGTATGGCTTCAAATCCTGATTCCAACGTCTAGGTTTCTGAAGGCCACAAGGATGCTGTTTAATCTCTCTGAACCTCTGTTTCCACCACTGTCAAGATGGATTTCACAATTTCTACTTTAAGATGACTGCTGGGCATTTTGCCCCCAGATATCACGTCTGGCTGTATCCACCCACCCTTCAATCCCCCAGGATGAGCCTGTTATTCATATGGGAAAAATAAAACCAGATATCAACATACTCAGTGACTTGCCCCCAAAATCTGGATTTACCAGACTGTTTTGATGCTGAGCCATACAAACTCATCTACATCCACCTAACTCTGTTAAGTAACAAGGCCAAGCTGATTCCTGAATTTAGCTTATGCATGTACATAGCAGGCATTCAATGTATATTTTCCAATGAATGAGTCATACAGCAAAAAGGGTTGTGTCTATATTGATCCTACTAATGAACTAAAATCTCTTTTTTCACAACCAGTGCCTATTGCCAGGCACTAATCTGCCATATGCATTGATAGTGCAGACATGTGGCAGAAAACAGATTTAAATCATTATAAGGCTAAAGACTTTGACGCTTGAGTTCCCTTCTGATGTAGGCCACCAGGTAAATGAGCAATTGGGAAGTTAAATCTCCTTATTTCTTTTGGAGATTATCTGTCAGTTCCCCCAGGGTTTATACTTTCAGTAACCAAAGGGACTTTTCAAAATAGAACAACTCCCCAGCAATAAATAAATAAATAAAAATTAAAAATTAAACAATCTTCATTCATGACAGTATGTGAACTGTCACCAAATTTTGCAAGGATATTTAGCAAAAGCATTCCTCTTTTAGTCTTGCTCCATGAATACTGAACAAGGAAAAACATTGCCTAAGACTGAGATTTGGCAAAATAATCTAATGAAACCCATCAGTTATGTGCCACCAGCATGGCTTCCCTGAAGGTTCCTGGTGACTGTATGATTATCTAGCTTGGTACTGTCCTACCTCAGGCTTCACGTGCAAAACACAGTTTCCTGCAGCTCACACATGTTCATCCACCAAAGCAGCAGTATCTGGGGCAAGAAAGGACTCTAACTCCCATCCCGTGCAGGTATCCTTTAGCCTAAGAAAACACATCTGCTAAAATGAACTCACTGACAGGAAAACTAAGAGCCAGCTATTCCATTTGCAAAAGAATTACCCAAGGGTATCTTTAAAATGCCTTTACAATGGATTTAAGAAACTGTGACTGGCACGCAATTTGGCAAGTACCCTTGATTAGGAAGAGAGCAGGATGCCGTGCTTACAAAACTCAGCACACTTGCAAAGAGCATGGGTCTAAGCTCAGAAGGTCTGAGTCCTAGTCTCATCAGAGTGACTAATGAGCTGTGTGACAGAGGCAAGTCATTAATGTCTTTGGCTATAGTTTCCTCACCCAGAGATGGAGAATCATTAATAAAAGCAAGCATTATCTACATCCCAGGGTTAGTAGGGAAATCAAATGAATGGGAAAGCTGTTAGAAAATACGAAGGCACATCCAGAAGTCAGGGAACTCTTCTGTCATACGCGTACATGTATGGAAATAGAGCCACCGGAAAACTACCTGCATCCACTCTTGCTCATACTAAATGTATTTCCTCTTGCTAATAAAGAGAACAACTGGAATGTAAAAGATTTCTGTGAATCAGGATGAATTCTCTCTTAGAGGATGACTACTGCTCTCACTGAGGACATGAGATCTGCTCTGTGACAGCTTTTGGTACCCTAGGACAATCACACAGGCAAATGCACCCAGCCAAGCTCTCCCAGAGATCAGGCCCTAAGCCTATTATTTCACGTTTACCAGACACTAACAATATGCTAGAAGTATCCAGAATACTGAATCCATTGTGACCAGGCAAACGGAACCACCAAGCCACAGGACAACACATGTGGTCAAGTTTAGAATGTGATGGGGGTGTAGGTCACCTTCCCAGTCCCTTACGGCTGCTCCCTTCGACACCCTATTGGGTTTGGGTAAGCTTTTCGTGCACTGTCACCTGAAGACAGCAGTTCGATGTATCCAACAAATCATCATCCCTCTAGGAAACCCATAGAAGAAAAAACAGGACAAGCCCTAACGACCATGCTGGACAAGCTTATTAGCGCTCTTCCTCTGAGTGCCCCCGGCTTCCCTGTGTCCAGGTGCTGCAAAGTGGAGCTGCCGGAGGCCGGCTGTCTGCTCACTCTCCCAGTTCCTACCCTTCACATTCCTGTCCTAGAAGCTGAGTAAGCCCCTCAAACCCTGGCAGAAAGACCAGCATAGGGTTGAATAACTGTAGGGATGTTCAGAACAATCGAAGGATAAAAAGCACCTGGAAAGCTCTGCATGCATTCACCGGCCTTGCAAAAAAAGCTGGTGCAGGGGGAGGGGCTTTAAAGGGAAACCCAGAGGGACAGCTGATTGTCCAACACCTAATACAATGGTTCATAAACCTGAGTGTGCATCAGAACCACCTGGAGGGTTTGTTAAACACAGAAACCCAGCATGTCTGAGTCAGTAGCTGATACTGCTGGTCCAGAGAACCACACTTGAAAAACCACTGACACAGTAAATCGGTGAGGGCTGCCCAGTCTGTCATTCCCACAGGGGCAACTTCTGATCCTGATGCAACCCCCATCTCCCAAATTGAGCCTTAAGAAAACTCATAATAGGAATTAAACAGTTCTGTCCCCCGACCCTCCGCTCTGGATTAAGAGAACAACTATCAAGCCATTCCTAACAAATCTCCCAGGGCTGAGTCCAGCTCTCACCTGTGCACAAGATGATTTTGCAGAAGGCGTGAGTTAGAGTGCAAAACAGCAGTGCAGGAAGAGCACTCGAAGGCTCCCCGGCCCAGTTCTCTGACAACAGCATGCCACTGGGACGGTGCCAGGGAAACGTTGTGACCTGCTTCTCTCCTCACTTATTTGTCCCGATCTGCCACAATGCACTGTGATTTCCCACAGAGACCTCACCTCATGTCATCCAGCAACTCAGTGCAAAGGAAAGCAGCAAGTAGCCACAAACACTGCACCTCTGGAGGGTGGCAGGGCACAATCCCTCGAGACCAGGATCAGAGGATTTCTGACCTGGAAGGGACCGTTGAGAATACTTCTGTCCTTCCCAAAGCTGATTACATTACACAGCACACAACTTTAGTAGCAGCAGGAGTTACTGCCACAGCAATATTGTTTTGATTTATGGGGGGGCAGAGAGGAGGGGGATGGAAGTTCCTACAGAGAGCACTATTATGAATAATGTAAACACTTGATGATAACAGCCTATCCAGGTCTCTTCTCCTTTGGTTCAAATGGGAAAATCTAGCCAATATTCACACACACTTCAGCTTGGCCTTTTCTGGCTATGGAACAGGAGAGGTTACACAAATTTGGGGCTGCACCTGTGGGACCGAAAACCAACTGCAAATTAAATACGGTGAAAGAATGAAGTGTGATTCATTCACAGTATTTTTGGTAAATATAGACAGTATGTGTTTGCAAATACCTGCTCTTTAAGATGATTTTGTGCACAAGAATAGGCATATTTGATGAAACAAATGTGTTTTCCCCTCCCATCAATAAAAAAAAAAATCCAATTAGCTCTTTCTCACATGCAGAACTGTGTACCAGTTCCCAGGTCCTGAGTGCCTGATTTGGGATAAACCCTGTGAAGTCTTGTGAGTCAAATAACATTCTCCAAAGCAGTAACACGAACACAACCTCCACTGACCCCAAAATTACGAGTCCATCTCAGGTATACCACACTCAAGACACAGGCCATGAGCCAAGACAGCAGTATTCAGAAAATTCTGGAGCAGGAGAGCCTAGCCTCAGGGGACAATATTGGCTGAAGCTCAAGAACGCTTATTAAACACTCTTGCCCCCTCCCTACCTCCAAAAGAGTCCATTCATTTGCATGCACAGATGAGGCCATGAAAAGCGCTGCCTTCACACCCAACACCCCTGGTGGCTCCAGTCCTCACCTATTTTCCAGGAGCGTCATGCACACCACCTCACGCACCCCCGGGTTGTTGGCCTTCTCCACTGAGCAGCCCTGCAAGTTCCAGGTGGCCAGCCTCAGCACGGGGCGCCCATCTCTGGTGCCTCCAAAGGCCTCCACCGACGGCCTAGTGGAGATAATCTGCGTGGGCCCCCCTGGCGGCAGGTCCAGGTCCTCGCTCTGCAGGCTCAGCGAGGTGGGGCTGGGGTGAGGCTTGGCAGTGAACATCAGGCCCCCGTTGGTGTGGGTGGACGGGGGCCTGGACCGCTCTGCAAACACCTGGTGCCGTATCCTGTCCAGGAAGGCAGCACTGATACCATCCATCCTCACCAGGTCCTCCACGCTGCGAAAGGGACCATGCTCCCGGCGGTAGTCCACGATGCCGAGGGCCATCTTCTCGGTGAGGCCGCGCACGCTCAAGAGCTGAGCCGGCGTGGCAGTGTTGATGTTGACACGTGGGGTGAGGGGTACGGTGGCCAGGTGGTGAGGCTGCTGCTCCACCAGCAGGTCCCGCCGCAGGGAGCTGGGAGAGTGCTGTGCAGAGTTGCCCTTGCTGCTCACGCAGATCTCAAACTTGACCTGCTCCAGCTTCGTGGCGCCCACGCCACTGACCAGCGCGAGGTCCTCCACCTTCTTGAAGCCCCCGATGTACTCTCGGTACTCCACGATGCTGCGTGCCACAGCACGCGTCACCCCAGGCAGGGTCATCAGCTCCTCCTCCGTGGCAGTGTTGATGTTGAGCCGCTCCTGATTCACCAGGATGTTGCTGAAGTTGCAGGCTGCGCTGAACTTTCGGCTGTGGGACAGGTCCGAGGGGTCCCTGGGGATGGAGCGGTGGCAGCCCAGGGTGCTCCCCATGGCCGGCCAGGATCGGGGGCAGGAGGGCCTCACCACGGCAGGAGAGCTCTCCAGCTAGGGAGGAAGTCCCGGAGACCTGACAAGCACAAAATAACGGAAGGTGCAGGATTTAGGAGCTGAAGCCGTTGCCACAGCCAAACACCAAGTCTTCCATGCTCAGAGTGTCCCAAATTACCTGTCACTTGGCCACCTAGAAAAGAAATGGACAAATCGATTGAGTTAATCAATTTGCATTCGCACTTCCTACCTAGTGCTGTAGTTCGTGACCAGGAGTCTGGGGCTGGTGGCCTCCCGTGAACCCCTGAAAACGCAGACTCAGTGAGGCTGGCCCAGGGGGTTTTCCAACGAGGAGACCCGGTTTTCATCACACCGGGGTCCAAAAAGGCTACGAGGCGCGTCGCCTGGGAAGATAATGAACCCCATCAGCCTCCCGACGCTCCTCCCGGCCTCTCCCAACGCCGGTAGCTCTGGGGGCATCTCCCCACTTCAGTCACCCCACCCGGGCTCGAGCGGACGGAGAGGGCGTCCCGTCCAGCCCCGCTCCACGCCTGACACCCAGCACCACCTGCGACCTGGGCGCCGCCGGCCCCCAGCCCCACCTCTCGGCCGGCCTGTCCCTCTTCCACCCGCGGCTCCGAAGCCTGAGCCCAGCCCGGACAGCGAGGGCCCCTGCCTCGGGCCCGGCACCCC